TTATTAAATTTTTTTTTTTTTTTTTTTTTTTTTTTTTTTTTTTTTTTTTTTTATTAGGATCTATAAAATTGTAATAAAGTAATTCGAAATAAAGTTGTATGAATTTTTTATTAAAGTGTAAAATATATTTATGTATTTACAATATTATTTTTTATTTTTTAAATTATTAATTTTTAAAATAATTTATTTTAATAATTTAAAAAGAAAAAAAAAAAAAAAAAGTTTATAATTTTTTGAAATATAGATTCTTTGAATTTTAAATTATCTATTATATTTGATTATATAAATTGGTTTTCTTTACATTTAAAGGCATATATGTAAAAATAATTTTAAAACCTTTTTTTTTTTTTTTTTTTTAAATGTTCTAATTTGCATGTAATATTAAAATATATTGCTTTAATTTCTAAATTTTAATCTCTAAAAAAAAAAAAAATTACTTAAAAAGTATTTTAAAATATTAAGAGACGAATATAAACATTAAAGAGGGTTATTTTAAATAATTTTCTAAATTAAAAAATAAAAATGATTTCATATTTATAATGGATATTTGTATAAGTCATTTTTATAATAGGCAAGTGAAAAAAAATATTTTACAGGATATATTTTACAAGTTAGAGAATTTAGAACATGAGGAATTTTTATGTTTTGATGTAAATCATTGTGGTAACGTGCTGGTTGTTTGTTCAAAAACCCATCTTTACTTTTTTCACATATTAACAGGAACGTTGTTAATGGAATATTGTTATTACAATGAAGAAAAATATAAAAAACATATCTCCAATAATATTGATAATAAACTAAATGGTAATATATGTACTGATAATACTTTGGATAACAATGATAATGATTCTATTGAAAAAAATGATGAAGTTAGGAAAAATATAAGTAGTAGTAATAATGACAATAATATAACAGGTCCTAGAGATAATGATAATAATCTTATTAATAATTTGAAAACAGAAAATATAAATAGTGTAAAGTTAATCGGGGATAAAAATTATGAAGATGATAAAACAAACGAAAATTTAGTTGAACAAAATAATTTAGATTATAACATATTAGACAAAAATGTAAGTGAATTTTTTCATAATTCGATGTTAGAAAATAATTCATCTGTTAAAGATCATAATATAAAATTAAATTGCAAAAGAAAAAATACATTATCAAAAGGAAACAAATTAAGAAGAGTAAAAAAACGCTCAAAATATTCTCAAAAAAATGTAAATAAAAATTTAGACAATACTAATAATACCAAAAATAAAAATAATGAAGTTAACAATAAAAAGTATGTTGAAGATAATTTTTTAGATGAAAATAAATATATTAGAAAAGTACAATTTATAAAAAGTGATAAGTATATTTTATGTGTATCAAAAAGATATTTAAATATATATCAAATTTTTGAGTCACCTATTACTAGAATAATTTATATTGATTTAATGTTCTTATGTGTTGGAATTGAAACTATCATTTCAGATTATTTGTTTTTTCCTTGTTTTTTTTCAGAATATTTTTACTTTTTATATAAGAAAAATGAAGATAAAAAACCTGAAGATATAAATAATAAATTAAATAACGATATAAAATTAGTTAATAACACAGAAGAAGGAGTAAATAAAACTGATGAAAATCTTGAATTTAGTAAAGTTCACGGAGAGATTAAGAGTGGAGAAAAAAATTGTAGAAAACTTATGGGACATTTAGACCTTTTTAAAAGTTATTATAATTTGTATATGAGCTTGGATTTCAAGAGGAACAGAAATTTTGAAATATGTGAAGTGAAATTCATAAATTTAAAAAAAAAAAAATATATAGATAATAATGGAAAAAAAAAAAAGAGTATGTATATAATAGATTTAATTATATGTGTAAAGGAACAAATTCCATATATTTCAAGAATTTATATAAAAAAAGAAAAAGATAAGTTAATTGATTTAAATAAAGAATATATGAATGATTATGTTGTTGATATAAATCATACCTTTCCTTTAATAACTATTGAACAGATGAGCTCTACATTTCAGGATAATGTAAAAGAAAAATCTTTTAATACAAAAAAAGATATATTTTATTTAAAGAACAAAAATAAAATTAAAAAAAAAAATCCTAGAGAATTTTCAAAGAATTCATCCATTAATAAAAGTTATATGAATCAAAAACATTGTGAAAGTATTAATATTTCTCATGTGAATAATTCAAACAACTCGCTTAATGAAAACATAAGCCTTTTAGATAATGATAGCAATTATCTAAATAAAAATTATTTTTTGAGCATTGGAGAAAATGTAATTGATAATCAATCAAATATAGAAGAAATAGAGAAAGTAATACAAGAAAAATCTATTGAAAACATTAAAAAAGAGAATTATGAAAAGAATGATGAGATAAATGATAAAAAAATGAGTAACCAAATAAATAATATTTATGTAGAAAAGGAAGAAAAGTGCGAAGAAACATATAAAGAAAAAAAAAATAAAATATGTAATAAAGACAATGTTGAGTTAAATAGTAAAAGTAATATTGAACAAAATAGTCAAAATAAGGATGAACAAAATAGTCAAAATAAGGATGAACAAAATAGTCAAAATAAGGATGAACAAAATAGTCAAAATAAGGATGAACAAAATAGTCAAAATAAAGATGAACAAAATAGTCAAAATAAAGATGAACAAAATAGTCAAAATAAAGATGAACAAAATAGTCAAAATAAGGATGAACAAAATATTGAAAATACTAATAGGAAAAATGAAGAATTTATTCATTTGAATAAATATTATAAAAATTATGAAAATGATCGAAAATATACGAAAAAGTTACTAAATACGCATTTTCCTGTATGTCTTTATAAAAAAAAGTTCAAGAGAAGGGTTAAAGAACTACCAACTACATTAAATATTTATGATAATTTAGATGATCTTTTGAAAAAAATATCTATAAATAAAAAAAATATTGAAGAAAAAAATAGTATTTTTAAGCAAGAAAATGGTTACTATGTATTCGATTACTCAGAAAAAGAAAAAAGCAATTACTTTACATTCCCAGAGGATTTGTTAAAAAATATAACTACTTTTAAGAAATTGAATAAATATATGAATGTAGATAAAAATAAGTTCTATATGTTTGTAGGAACTCATTCTTACATATTTGCATTTGAAATGTATTATATAAAAAACAATGTTCCTATTGGAGAAAATAAAAAAAAAATAATAAATTTTTTAAGAAAAAACTGTATATATAAACAAATAGAAGATATAACAAATGAAATATATAATGTACATAGTATTTTTTTTAAAACCATAGAAAAAAATATTTATAACAAAAATATAAAATTAAAATTTTTATTTAAAGTATATTTGGGAATATCTACACCATTAGAAATTATTATAAGAGAAAAAGGAAATATTTTATGCGTTAGAGCATTAGAGAAAGTTTTTTTGTTTAGAATTAATTATAAATATAATTTTTGTTATAATTTAGGGATAACAAATGAGGAATCTTTTTTCTTGGATGAAAGAAATTCAAAGGAAATGTGCAATGATGATATTATAATGAAAATGAATAAAAACCATGTAAAATATATAGATGAAAAAGAGTTACATATAATATCTGATAAAGCTAAAAAAAGGAAAATTTACACATACAGTTATATTGATCACATTTTTTTATATTACACTATTCATAACCCAATTCAGAAAGAAATAAATGAATTATGCTATTTTAGTGAGGATATTTATCAATCATATTTATTAGTTATAACATTAAGATCAGGAATATATACATTATATATTTATAATTTAAAGCATATGGATATACAAAATGCAGTTAAAATAAATATATCTGCATATAAAGGTTTTAAAGAAGTAAAGTGGATAAAGTGCTATGACATGTTAGTAACTTTATCTAATATAGGAGGATATTTATTAATATTAAAAAATAAGTATTTAAATAATTGGAGTTTTTTTATATCTGACTTTGAGTTAATAGATTCAAATATTGAAGTAATTGAAGAAGACAATGAATTTGATAGAATAGAAAATGTTCAACCAAAACATAAGAACATAGATGATAATATATGGAAATATATCATCATTTATTTAAATTTATTTATAAAAAATAAAGTTTGTATCAAAAATTTAATACATCCTTCTTCCTTGTTTCCCATATTATATACGGGTTATTATAAAAATAGCCCAAGATATTTCTTTTATGAATATTTTCATGAAATTAAAAATGAAAATATATTGAATTGTAATTTTCAAAAAAGAATAAAAAAGAAGAAAAAAGAAAAAATTAATCAAAAAATTTCCAAAATAAAAGAAAACTTAGACAATTATTTAAACAAAAAATTAGAAAGAAAAAAAGATGAGTTTAACAAATTACAAATTAAAGATAATTCTAATTGTGTACAATTACTAACTAATTCTCTTACGTATTATCTATATTACAAAAATATAATAAATTTTTCTATTTAATACTAAATTTTTTTTTCTTTTTTTTTTTTTAATTTTATGAATTTTATTTTATATTTTTATTAATATTAAATTATTTTCCATGATTCTATTTGTTTTATTATGCTTTATTTTTTATATTTTATGTTATTATTTTTTTAATTTGATGCTATTTTTGATTTCCCGTCATTTACAAATGTATACACTTTCATTTCTATAAAGTTTTAGTTTTTAAATATATAGTTTTAACATTTTGTAATATTTTTGTGGTTTTAATATATATATATATATACAGTATTCTTTTTTAAATTATTAACAAATATTTGCTATTTATTATTATGCTTTTTCTACTCATTCCTGAATGCATTATAAAATGTTATATATATATATATATATATATATTTTTTTTTGTCTTTTTATATGTTAAAATTTAATAATATTTACTTTTATAAATATTCATGTAAATATTTTATTTTAAAAATTATGCAAAAAAGAAACAAAATAAATGACACGAAAAAAAAAAAAAAAAAAAAAGTACATAAAAATTAAAAATTTGAAAAAATAAAATGAAAGCATAACTTATATATTTTTTATAAAAAAAAAAAAAAATTATTAATATTATTATCTTTATGAAAATGAAAAAATAAAATAGGAAGTTTCATAATTTTCCTTTATTTTTTTTTTAATATATATATTCTCAAAAATTAATAACTGGGTAATTATAAGTAATACTATTTTTTATAACATTAAATAAGTGAGAATTTTCAATCGCAGCTGCTATTCTTTCTTTGTCATTTAACTGTTTATTTATTGAATGTTCTGAATTATGGGATCCTGGATATATATAAATATTTGTTTTGAAATTATTTGATAAAGAAAATTGTAATTTGATGCTAATCATTAAACCAATAAGTGTAGCTAAAGAGCAGTTAGGTATTGTTGGTGTAAAATAAATAGTAATATTTTTTTCTTCATGATTTATATGGATATTTTTTTTCTCAATTATTTTTAAATTTTCCAATGTATATGAATATTCAGGGTCTTTTATATCACGCAGCAAATCAAAAATTTCATCTTCATTTATTTTATCTTCTTCATAATATAAATCACATAAATCAGTTGTATTATACAAATTTTCTTTTATTATTGATTCATTTATTGTTTCTTTACTTTCATTATCGTTTGAATTATATAGCACTGGATTATCATTTTCAAGTTTATAAATATTCATGTTAAATAAAAAATATAAACATAAATATTTATAATTGACTTATATTTTCTTATAATTTGAAAATTTTTTACTCTTTTATTTTTTACTTTATTTTTATATATCTTTTAATTATTTATATTAAATTTTTTTTTTTTTTTTTTTTTTACTTAGTTTTGGATTAAAAAAAAGTAAAATATTTATTGAGTTAAAATTTTTCTTTTTTATGTAAATACCTTAAATTAGTAGAAAAAATTTGATACTTTAAAAAAATAAAATATGAATATATATAAAAAAAATTTCTTTAAAAAAAAAAAATATATCGTAGAAAAAAATATGTATCTATAATTATATAAAAAAAAAAAAAAAATAAAATAAAATAAAATATAAATGTGTTAATTATTTATTAAGTACAAAATATTTTCAAAATAAATGGTAATAAACACTGAAAAAAAAAAAAAAAAAAAAATTATTTTAAAAATATATGTATATTTATTTTTCTACATATTACGAGATTTTATTTTATTTTGAATTTTTTTTAAGATATCTTTTTCAAAATGAGCTAAATAACTTTCCGGTAGCTTCTTAAAATTATGATATTTTAAAATAATGGAATATATATGTTTATACTGGTAAAAATCAGAATTATAATTTTTTATTAAATTTTCAACATTTTCTACGTTATAAAAATGTAAATCTAAATATTGCTCAAAATAATTGACCTCTTTGGATAAAAAAATGTAATAGTGTTTGTAATATTTGCTATTAGGATTTTTTAAATCTTTATAAAAATTAGTATAAATGGTATTTTTCATTTTAATATTGTTATTTATGTTCTGTTCTATTTCCTTTTCTAAATTTTTTATATTTAGATTAATAATATTGGAAATTTTATAAAAATATGATTTCAAAATAGACAATAAATATCCTTTGTCTTCTTCATTGTAATCATCATTTTCATTTGCAATATTTATTACTTTAACTTTTGAATTCTTTTTATTACATTTATTCTGAAGAATAGTACTATTTTTTTGTAATTCCTCTTGAGGATTTTTTTTTTTAGTGATACAGGAAGAATTTTTATTATCATTGGCTTCATTTGTTGTTAATTTGTTATGTTCATTATTTTTACTTATGATAGGCATGAATTCACTTTTTATTTTATGCACAATTTCAATATTATTTAAGTTAAAAATATAATTTATTAAATTCCATAAGATATAATGTATAACTATTGATAAAATTCCTTCACAACAAAACATTAATTTCCTTTTAGTATCATTTAATATATTTAAATATAAATTCATATATTGACTTAATTTTTTTTTTAAATCCTTTTTTTTTGTGTTTAAGTCATCTATTCCAGTTTTATTTTTATTTTCTTCATTAAAAGTTTCATTAATTATCTTTAATATTTCATTTATATAATTACTACTTTCAATAATGTCATACAGAGAATCACAGTATATTAAAATTCTAAGTTCGTCAATAATAGCCAATTTCTTATCTAAAAAATTTAAAAAGACATCTTTTTCATCTTTTTTCTTCGTATTATCTTCTTTTAAATGTTCAATAATTGTATTTTTTGATTTTATATTATCATTCTTATTATCATTATAAATTTCTTCATATTCTTTTTTTTTTAGATTATTTTTTTGTTCAATTATTTCTTCTTTTAATTTACATATTAAGCAAAATGAAGATTCAAGGGAAATAATTTTTTCTGAAAGTGCGTAAAGAGAAGTAGAACTGTATATTTTGCGAAAATTATTTAAATAAAAGAATTGAGAGTTATTATCAGTAATATTATTAAATTTTATTAAGTCATATTTTGCTTGAGAAAATTTGGATTCATTTTTATTAAAACCCAAGAAATTATACTTATGGAAATTTCTTTTAATTTCTTCATTATGAGAGATTAAAAAATTATATAATTCATTGTATTTTTCCTGTTTTTTTAAGATAAAATAAATGTTGTTTATTCCTAATCTTTCACTATATTTTTTTATATCAATTATGAGCTCTTCTATGTTTTCTTTTTTCATGAAGAAGAAGCATATTATATATAGATAAAAATCAATTAATTTAAATATATATTCATTTATTTCTTCTTTTAAATTATATAATAATTCTTTCAAAATAAAATAATTTTGCAATATTGATGCTAATACATTGGCTGAATTTGATAAAATAATATCAAAGTTAACAATTTCAAAATTATTTAATTCAATTTTTTCTTTATTAATTTTTAATTCCTCATATTTTTTATCATCATAATCATTATATAAATTTTCTATTTCATTTATACTATCTAAATTAACATTACTTAATCCATCAACTAATTTTACATATGACTGACTATTTATGTTGTCATTTATGTGTTCATTTAAATTATTGTCAGAACATAATTCCTCTTCTAGTTTTTTAAAATTAAAGTTCTTCAAAGGGTTTTCTGAAAAAGGTTTATTTAAAAAGTCACTGAAAGTTTTTTTATAAAAAGAAATAACACTAAAAAAATTAATTTTTTTGTTAAATATATGATGATTTATATTTATTGGTATACGTGTCCAATTATCCTTATTTATTACATCATTTAATTTTTTAATGTTTATACAAAAATATTTGGAAAGATAATTTTTAATTTTTTTTTCCATTTCTTCAAATATAATATTATTCTTAATTTCACTTAAAAATAATTTTTCATTTTTAAAGTTATTAATTCTTATAAATTCATCATTGTTACACTCTTCACCTTTTTTTCCTACATTTGACACAGAACTTTTATTTTTTTCATTTTCTTTTTTATTTAATTGATTATTAATAATAGTTGTATTTATGTTTTCGCTTTTTATATCATTATTTAAGATAAAGTTTTTTCTACATATTTTTGTTGTTTTTTCTTTATATTTTGAATTTGAGAATGATGTAAATTTTTTGTCATTTTTTTCTTGAAAAGAATCTGTATTTTCTTCACATTTTTTTATTTCTTCTCTTTTGTAAACATTGAAAATTTTATCATTTTCTTCATTTACATATTCTTCACTTAGTTCTTTTTTTTCGAAAACTTCATATTTTTCTTTGGTATAATAATATTTTGTTTTGTTTAAATTATAAATTTGATAATTTGAACAATTAAATTTAAAGAGAAAAGAATTACAGCAAAATATAATAGTTATAACAATAAATCCAAATATGTAATTAAAATTAAAATCATGAAATTGAATATTTTCGATAATTATTTTGATTACTTTTTCTATATTTTTTAAAAATTTATCTTTTGCGTTTAACAATTTATCTACATTTTCTAATGCGAAATTTAGGTACTCGATGCTATGATTATACTCCATACTTTTATCCTTTAAATAATTTTCTATTTCTTCTTTTATTTTTAAACAGTTTTCTGAGAAGCTACAATTTTCTATATTAATGTTTTTCAAAAAAAATTTCGTTATGGATGAATTGTCATAGTCTTTAGCTTCATAAAATTTTGAATCAATTGAATGTGAATTTTTATTTCTACAAAAAAAATAAATATCATAAAAACTAAAGCTATTATATAAGTTTTTCTCTGCCATATTTTCATCGGAAGACTTTCTATTTTCTATATTTATATCACATATATTATTATGGTTTTTATATGTATTTTCATTAAAATATATATCATTTTGATCATTTTTACTGTGATAAATAGATGATTTATTATTATCAACATTTAAACTATGTTCTATTTTTTCTTTAGATATAAAAGAGTCATTTGTTTTTTCTAGTAAAACATAGTCTGACTTCATGTTTTTATGACATTTTAATAAATAAATTATAATGAAATCATATTTATTTAAAATATCAAATACAATTTCATATATTTTAATAAGAGAGATCATACCATCTTTTTCTTTAAGTTTTTGAACTAGTTCATTTAAAGGTATAAATAAAAAATTGTCTTCCTGAAGATTATTTATTTCATCTTCGAACTTCTCATTTTTTTTATTAATACTTACTTTAGCACCTTTTTCTTCTTCTCTACTTATATTATAGTCTGAATTTTCGTTAATAGCAATGGGAGATTCATTTATATTATCATTTATTGAAAAAAAAATATTCTCAAAATTTGAAGGTGTATATGTCATATTAACATTTTCAGAATTAGGAATTTTTTCTGTAAAATGTTTATTTGAACTTAAATTTTTCTTATTTACATTTTCCTTTTGTAATTTTTCATTTAATGAATTATTAATTTTTTTTTTAATTTTTGTGAAATTGTCAGAATTTTTTTTATCTTTTTCATTTCTTATATTTTCTTCGTGCTCAATATTTTCATTAATATTTAAATCATTTTCATAAAAAAACAAAATTTCATCCTTATCATTATTAATTTTCTTTTTTTCCTTCACTTTTTTTTTGTTAACAATTATAAATGAAAAAATGATTTGTTTTGATATTTTCTGAAAACATTGATAAACATAAGCTAAAAAATTATCAATAAAGTTGTAACTTTTTGATTTAAAAAGAAGGTAATAAATTTTTACTGATTTTTCTAATTGAGTTTCTAAATTTCTTTTAGAACTATTAGAAAATAAGAAATCAACGAAATTTGTTTGATTATTTTGTTTTAATCTATTAAAATATGTTGAAAACATCTTTTCTTTTAAATTATGTATACAATTGATATTGTTTAACAGAGTTATGTTTTCATTTAGAAAGTTCAATAACTCATAAAATATTACAGATGCGTATTCATAATCTCTTTTTAAAATATTTTTAAAAATTAATTTATCATAAATGTAAATAAAATATAAAACCAAAATAACTAAATTAATTTTTTTTGATTTTTTTTTTTTTTTAAAAAGATGTATGATATTTAAGCTTTCTTTGTATTTATTTTTTTGCATAATTTTTAATTCATTCATATTTTCAGATAGTAAGTTTTTAATATTAGTAATGTAATTCTCTATAGTTTTAATCTTAATTGTGCTAACAAGAAAATTTTTATATTTTCTTTCTAATTTCTTATAAATTACTGTTTCTATTTCTTTTCTTATTGAATTTAAGTTATTTATAATTTTCATAATTTCTTCCGTATTATATATATCACTAATTTTATTAAATTCATTCTCAAATACAAATTTTTCTCTTTCTTCAAAAATATGTTGTTTATTAATATATTCGGAAAAGTAACAATTTATTATTATATCATTACCTTTATTTAAGTTACTTATTTTCTTTTTATTATATTCCTTTTCATTATGTTCATTTATTTTTTTTGTATTTTTAGTATTTTTTTCTGTGGTATTTGAATTATTGTTAACATTTGTTTCCTTGTGTAACTTGTATGAATTATTCTTTTTATATATAATTGCATCATCATTAGAATAAAAATAAAATTCATCACCTGTCAGATGGTTTATGCTACTATTTGTGTCAAAAATTAAAATTTTATCATTTCTCATTTCTTTATTTTCCATTTTTTATACTAAATTTTACCTATTATCCATATTAATTCTTATATGAAATAATATTATAATACTTAATTATATATACATATTTCAAAAAAAAAAAAAAAATAATAAAATAAAATAAAACAAAAAACAAAAAACAAAAAACAAAAAAAAAAAAAAAAAAAATAATAAAAAAAAAAAAAAATAA